AAAAAAAAAAAGAAAACGAATGCCCCAAAGTCCGCAAGGAGCAAAACAGCAAAATGTTAAAGACAGGATCCATCTGGCTGGGTGAGGCATCTGGGGAGCCCCCAGGCTCTGAGACGTCGCGCTCAGGCAGGGGTCTGGGGCGCCCCCTGAACTAGGGTGCGCCCGGGCCTCTAGGGCGGGGCCCAGGAGAGGGAGGCAGGCGGGTGGGGCGGTGCCTCTCTCTGCCCCGCCTTCCTCTACCCCTCCTGGGCCTCTACCGGGCGCCGAGTCCATTCCGAGTCTGCATCCGCGCCGCCTTTTATCGCCGCCCGCATAGGGCCCAGCTGACGGGCCTCGTTGTTTACGGGCCGAGCAGCCCTTGCTCCCGCCGCCCGCCCGCCACCCGCCAGCCCTGGTGCCTGCCCACCAGTCTGTGCGTCCTTCTGTCCTCTCGTCCGTTTGTCCTGGCGCCGGCAGATTGCGGCCCAGAGCGGTCGGAGCCGAGAGCTGAGAGGTCCGGGGCGCAGCGTGGTGCTACCGGCCCTGAGATCTCGGCCCGGGGCCCGGGCCGCAGTGGCCCGGGGTTGGGGCCGCGCCGCGGGATTTGTAGCGGCTGAGGCCGCGCACCCCTCCCGAGGCTGATTTAAGAGTCCTCCTCGGCCAGGACTGCGGCCCGTGGGGCTGCCGGCGTAGAAGAGGAGGAGGCAGGGTCCTCAGCGCCTCCCAGGCGGCCACCTCGGAGCATGACCCCCACAGGCTGGCGCCGCGCGCTCTGATCCACCGGGATCCGTGCTCCCGCAGCCATGGACGCTGGGGGCAGGCGGGGGGCGACCGCCGCGCCTATGCTGGTGGCTGTGGCCGCGCTGCTGGTGGGCGCCGCGGGCCACCTGTATCCTGGAGAGGGTGAGTCTGGGGGTCTGGGAGTGGGCGGGGAGCAGCGCGGTGGGGTGGGGACCCCTTGCCAAAATGGAGCCCCATTGGGGACTCAGAGCCTTCCTCGGTGGGGGGCAGGTGGCCCGGATCGTCGCTCCAGCTTTGCGGGGAGTGGAAAGCCGCTGACCTTGGCCTTTGCCCCCCTGGGCTCACGGCTCCGCGCCCCGCGTGCCGGCTCGGACTGGAGGAACCTTCCCCCAGTGCCCGCCTCGCCACGGGCCCTCTCTCGCGAGCTCACCGCTGACCCATGCCTGGCCCTCTTGGAGCCCAACTCGCTCCGCAGACGGACACGCATCCATCCTCTCTGGGTCGCTTTTGAGAAGTGGAGTCCCTGGGTCTGGGCGCCCTCAGATAGCCCAATGCCCGGGGCACACATAGTTTGGAGCCAGAGTCTGGCTCCAAAGATGAAAGACTGAGGGGGGTGGCGTCCCTTCGGGTCTCTGCTGGTAGGTGACGCTGCGGGAAGCGGGAAATTGTAACCTCCCGCTGCCCCATTCCTGAGATCTAGGCCCGTGGCCACCCGGGGCTCCAGGTCCATGTTTACACTTTTGGCTCCTGTTTCCAGATGTCCGGAGGCACACTCTAGCGCCTTGGTAACAGCCCAGTTGCAGTAGCAGAAGCAGTGGTTTTCATCATGATTATTATAATTAGCGTCGCCGAATGCCACTGGGCTGGTCCATCTTATCTCTCTGGACTCTGGAGGCTGATACTGTTGTTCGCCCATTTTATAGAGGAGTAAACAGGCTCAGGGAGAAGACAAAATTCACTTGCCCCAAAGTCAATGCCAGAGGGAGGACTTGAGCCTCTGTGTGCTGCCACCTCCCTGCTAACCTCCCCACTACAGCTCTGCGTTTCATGAAGGGGTTTTACTTGTCAGCCCCTTGGGTGAACCTCTCATACCCCTACCTCCATGGGCCTCCCTGCTGGGCTTCCCTGTGCTGGCAGGAGGAGGCAAGCCCCAGTCCCAGCATCCTGGGTGCTTGATAGCAGGCCTTTCTGTTGGTGGGACAAGGACTGAAGAATCATTTAAGAGAATATAGCTGGGGTGTTTCACCCAGGTGTCTGAAGCCCTACTTTAAAAATATCTGTTGGGTTCCTTCAGATTTCTCCATAAAAGGAAATCAGTCATGATGAGGAAGGGGTCCGAGAGGGAAGATAGAGAAGCTTCTGAGTTCCCTGATGGTGAATGAGGCACGTGAGAAAGCACACACGGGCTTTGGTGTTGACAAACCTGGCTTGCTGAGCGCCTCTGCTAATTACACTATGACTTGAAGCTCCCGAGTGCCTGGTATACAGTAGGCACTCAGTGAAGGGTGGCAGTTCATTTGGATACTTGTTAAGAAAACCCAAGATGTGTTGTTAGACATACGCTAGGCTGTGTGTGTGTGTGTGTGTGTGTGTGTGTGTGTGTGTCCACGCGTGCATATATGTGGCTCCGTGCTCCTCTGTTCCTTGCAGCTTTGGTAATTAATTCAATTAATTGTGTATCTGTGCCTGGGCTTCCAGGGGTCAATAGATGGCTTTACCACTTCTTTACATGTTTAGAGTTTCCACTATGGCAGAGGTTTTTGTTTCTTTCATTCACCGCTCCATTTCCAAAGCCTAGAACATTGCCTGGTGCATAGTAGGTGTTGGGTAAATATTTGTTCTTGATTTGGCTCCTATCCTTTATGTTCTCACTGGCACTCCTTTATTCTCCAGACAATACCTAACTGACAATAATAGCAAACACATGGCGGGTGCCGTTCTATATGCTTTGCATATATAATCTCAGTTAATCTTCACCACAACTCTATGAGGTCGGGTTTATCCTTTTTACACAGGTGAGGAAATTGACTAGGTTACAGGGCAAGCAGGCAGCAGAGCTGGAAGTAGAACCCTCGCTAGCCTGGCTGCTGAACACTGGTTTCTTACCAAATGGTTCTTCTTTTGGGTCTGAGCCTCCCCACTCCAGTGCTGCAGTAATGACTAACAAAATCCTATCAAATAAATAAGATGGGGTGCCCCTTGGAAGTTTGGGGAGGGGGGAGGAATTTTACAGATTATTAATCATCTATAATGTTAACCAATATGGCATTCTGGCTGGGGTTGAATGGAGGGAAATCGAACTTATTTTTAAGGAATGAGGGACTCTTTCTTGGAGATGTCACCCCACTTCATTCTCTGTGAAGTCACTGTTGCTTTGCTGAACTGAGCAAGGGCTTCCCCTCCATTTCTCCTTGGGTTGGCTGGCTCTGGCCTGTGATTACCGGTGGGCATTGCAAAGTCAGAGAATGAAGGTAATGTGGGATGAATGAAAGTAAACACCCACAGAGCTTCGGGGTGAAGGTCCAGCGAGTCAGCTAATTGAGGTAGGAGATGCTTGCTGCCAAATCCCCCTTATTTTTCAAGGCGGCATGAGATTTTTCTGTATCTTCTCTTATGCACTCTGGAGCCCAAGGAGCAGACATCTGCCTGCTCAGTCACCTCCCTGGAGTTATTCCTAACTTTTCCTTCTCTCCTGGAGACCTGCCCCTTGTCCCTGCCCCACTCACTCATAGAGATCACTGGGGTGAGCCCCCTGGGGTCCCCACCTCACCCCACTTCATTGTTGACTTCCATTCTTATTTGATTAGAGCAGAATCTCTCAATCTTAGTGATTTTGACGTTTGGGTTTAGATAGTCTTGGTCGTGGGATGGCTGGCCTGTGTATTGTTGGCTGTTGAGCCGCATCCCCGGTCCCTACCCACTAGATGCCAGTAGTGCCTTCCCTCTCCAAGTCATGACAATCGACAGTGTCTCCTGACATTGCCAACTGGTCCCCAATTGAGAACCATCGCATTTGCGGAGATAACTTTTTTCTTGCTTAGGACACTTATCCATCTGTATCCCTGCTCTCTTCCCTTTGTTTGTTCAGGGATCTCCATCTGCCCAGAAGCCTCACTCCTTCCAGCCTATAAACACTCAGTACTCCCCTGAACCTCACTACCTACCGCCTACCTCCGGTTTTCCGCTGCCAAACCTTCACTTTGGCAGGTCCTCTCCACAATCGCTTTCTAACCTTTCACCCACTGCTCTACCCGTGGCATCTGGCTTGTGTCTCCCTCACTTTGCTTTGCTGGTGGCTTTAGTGATGGTGATTCCTCACCTCCCAATTGCCTCTCCTGCCGCCTTACCCCCGTTAACCTCTCTGGGTTTGCCACTGCCTAGTCCCTCCAACTGGAAGGCACAGTCTCCTGGTGAGTTTTCACCTGCGACTGGCTTCCCTTGGTCCTCCCTCTTCTCTTCCTCTGTTCAATGTTAGCTTCCTTCATAGAGGGAAAATCCCTACTCTGACCCTCTCTCAGCCCACTGTTTTATTTACATATAGTCAAACTCCATCTAGGACAGGAGCCAGCAAACTACACCCGCAGGCTAAATCTTCTGCCCTCCCACACCTGTTTTTGTAAATAAAGTTTTATTGGCATGCAGCCACACTCATTCGTTTATGCATCATCCGTGGCTGCTTTTGCTCTCTAATGGCAGAGGATATTGTGAGTGCATGGCCTGCAAAAATATTTACACTTTGGCTCTTTACAGAGAAAGTTTGCTGACTCCTGATTTAGAAGGAACTCCTTGAGGATCAGGGTGACATGCCTAACAGCTCGTGTGGTCCCTGGTACAAACTGAATGAATCAAACGAAATGAAATGCCCAGATATGTTGTGTTTTTCCCTTTACAGAACAAGCTGTATTAAAGAAATTTATCCATTTGCTGTGCTGAATGTATTGGTTCTGATGGTGAGAAAATGTCGGTGATATTTCCTCGTTAGCCGTGTGTGTGTGATCTTAGGGTTTATTTATTTCAACAGTCATCTTGGCATTGAATGAGGATTTCGTGACATTGGCTCTGTCTCTAGAGCCCAAAAGAAAGCAGTGTCTGCCATGAGATTTTCCCCTGAAGACTTCTAGTGTGCCTTTGTATTAAGAATACGTCAGGGGTGGCTTGGTTTATGTTTTGCAATCAGACTGTACTTATGGTTTTTAAATTAGAATAATAACAAGTAATGCGTTCTCATTGAAAAAAAATCAGGAAAGTATAGGGGGAAAAAACAAAAGTTATTAGTTTGGCATGTTATCTTTTAAAAGTTTTAAAATTATCGTACAGTAAAATTGACTCCTTTTTTTTTTTGTACACAGTTTTCAGATTTTCACCCATGCATGGAAATGTGTAGCCGTCCCCACAATCAGGATCCAGAACAGTCCTTTCCCTTTCTGCCCAAATTCCCTTCGGCTACCCCTTTATCCTTACACCACCCCACCCTTCACCCCTGGCAACACTGATCTGTTCTTCATCCCTATAGTTTCCTCCAGACTTAAAAAAATACCTTATAATTGGATTAATATTCTTAAAATTGAAAAATTTAATCTTAAGTACTGGATTCCATATTTGTGAATTCGCTTATTTGCTAGAATTTATTTGTAACTCCAAAATTAATATTCAAAGCACTTTTGTGGTCACTCCCGGACACACACGGAGGGGTGAAAAATGTGAGTCACCTGACTCGAACGTTCTAGCTGAAGTCAGCCATGGCAGTGCCTGTGCCTTCTGGGTCAATTCTCCTAAGGTGGATTCATGCAATCCTAAGAATTAAAACAAGTGCCTTTTTTGTGATATATCGAGTGCCATGTTTTTTGCATTTTTTGGTGCTTTTTGTTGGTGATTTTGTTGTTTAAATTGGCCCCCACGCATAGTTCTGAAGTGCTGTCTAGTATTCCTGAGCCTGAGAGGGCTGTGATGTGCCTTAGGGAGAAAATCCACATATTGGATAAGCCCTGCTCAGAAGAGCTATAGTGCTTAGTGCTGCCTTGAGTTCAAAGTTAATGAATCAACACTGTATATTAAATAATGTGTTTCAGGGAGGGGTCTCCTCTTGTTCTCTAGACCCTGGTATGGGCGGGGGGAGGAGAGGGTTGCCCCAGTAGCTTTCAGAATTTTAGAAACTTATTTTG